TGGAATTCATTTACCAAAAAAATTAAATATTGCCTGAATATACAGCCTCATGCTACATCATTAAAAACTAATTCTTATTCCTTGATGAACAACCTTTAGATTACAATGTATCTTAAATAGAAACCTTTGAACTACCATGTATCTTGAAAAAGATTTTTCCTCAAAAAACATTTTATTTTAAAAATCCAATTTGAATCAATAATCCATCTTTTTAAATTTTAAAACAACCATTCCTTTTCATCCCCCTTCATGTCTGTTATTATGAAAATACAATTAAACGAACAAGCTAAAGCACATTTGCTTAATTTACATAGTGTATTATGTTTTGCAAGTTGTGGACTCTTGGCTAACAATCTGGGTTGTGTTTTTGTTTCAATGGGGGGGAGATCCCAAATGCAAAAGCAGCTTTCATTCCTGCAAGAGTCTTCGGCTGAAAGAGTGACATGTCACAATCATCAAAAGAGAGACATCCCCACATTGAAGCTAACGATAGTCAAACAAATCCATCCACGGGAAAAGTACCACACGGCCTCCGGGACAAGATCTGCTTGAACTAAGGGAGACCTCAAGAGCTTCACTTGTGGTCCAGCAGGGCAAACCAAACCCCACATCCAGCACACCTGGATGGAAGCAGAGAATCCAACCTGAAGGACATCAAGAACACTCCATTAAGTCTTCCCTGTAGGAACGATGCCACAGTTCAACATGGCCAGAATATTCTAGCTACACAGCACTGGAAGATTTTGAGGAATGAACAGTACCTATCGGGCTACAGCTTTATTGCAACTCCAACATCAGAAGCACGGAACTTTGGACACAATTCAGCATCCCGAGAACGCCAGCTTACTATAAAACAAGCTGCCAAAAATACTATCAAGGTTCTAGCCCTCAATACTGTAAAAACATTTTCTGAATTGTGTAAGCTCCAGCCCATTATTGCAGTGGGAAGCTAAGAAGAAGTACAGAAAACCCAGCCCACTACGCAAGCAAATGAATTGTTAAACCAATGCCTGAGTTCAGCACACCCCATCTGAGCCCTGAGCAAAGTACACCCCATCTGGGCCAGTATAGAAAAGTTTTAAATAAATAAAAATAAATCTTTCAGGCTGAACATACACACAGAAAGTAGCATTCCTCTGGTTCAGGGTGATAATCTGTATTCAGTTATTTTAAAATTAGTACTCTTCTTTTCTGCCCAAAGGTATCCTCAAAGCAACATTATGAAATAAATCCTAACATTAAAAAAACAGAACTGCAGCATCAGATGCAATGGAAAACCAGTGCTATGAAAACAAACCATGGTTTGATCTTGGTATGTTTCAGCTAACCACAGTGCTATGAAAACAAACCATGGTTTGATCTTGGTACGTTTCAGCTAACCACAGTTGAAGAAAGCCACAACAGTGAACTGTGATTAGTTCAGAAAGAAACACAGAAGCGTTTCAGGTCTTTCCCATGTGCACAAGAGATAAAAGAAAGGGACAGGAAGGCACAGGAACCCAAGGGCTGTACAGCCTCGTTCTGGTAATACTTTATCATAATGAGAACTCCATGTGAACCAGGCCAAACCCTTAAATCAAGAACAGAAGCAAGATGTGCAACAGGTTCGGCCAATCGGGGACACCAACACATAATAAGTAAGGCGTGAGAGGGAAGAGTTGTGTTTTTTAAGTACCATCTTGACTCGATGTTGAAAGACCAGTAAGAAAGCACCGGATCAGCTCCCACACGCCCGAACTCCCCAGTCAGGTTGCCACGACCAAGAAGTCCGGTCCTTTGCTCTCACCAACTGTACCTCTGCAAGTGCGAAGGAGAACTGGAACTCAGCCGTTAAGCAGGATCATGCCAAAATCGGCAGCTCTTGCGTACAGATTGCTTTTTCGTTTTTTGGCGCTGCCCTTCTGTTCTGGCCCGACTCTGGGCTACAGGTTTGAGCGACCCCAAGAGCTCAATAAGCAAGGCCCAAGATTTACTCAAAAGGAAGCTTTATTGAAAAGACAAGCACATTTCTCCAAAAGCTAGCATCTTGAAGGGGTTAGCAAGAAAGGCCCTTACAGCGCTCGGCGTGTGGAAGTCGGCTGGGAGGATCCGCTAGGAGACCCCCCCCCCGGGGTCTGAACAACCCCCCCCCCGAGGGAAATTGCTAGCCTTTATAGGCTACTCATGAGGAAGAGATTGGCTGTTGCAAAGGGGCAGGAACTAGGCAGTACACAATGACCTGTTTACTTCGCCGGCAAGCCCAGAAGTATTTTATATCCAGCTTCCCATCACTGGACTCTGTGGGGCGTGAAGGTTCCCATCCTCATTAGCCGGCCACAGGTCACAACACCTGAGGCTCTCCATCAGTGTCAGTGGCACAGGGCGTGAGCTCATTAAGCCAGTTTTAATACCAAGCAGAAGCACGTGAGCTGATCTAAGACGGGAGACCCCAAGCCAAGTTCAGCTACGTGTTTAGTCCTTCGGCCATCTTTCCCAGGACCTTTGGAAAACACCTAGCAAGCTAAGCAAGAGGGAACTCTAGGGCAGCGTTTCTACTTATGCCAAGCAAGGCCTAAAACTTTCCAAGACTAGAGACCCAGGCCCTGAGTTTTACAGCTTAGGCCCCATACACTTTCCTCCAGGAAAATCGGATCCCACCTCTACCTCCGTCAGCAACACAAAACTCCTCCAAGGCAGTTTAAGCCTGAGAGAAAGCTGTTTATCCAAATCCATTCTGCAAATTCCACTGCCAAGAAGAGACCAAATTAAGGTCTTTCTAGTCCTAAGCACAAACTCTGGCGCTCTCCCACCCATCCCAGTTTCCAACCTACTCTTCTGCAGGAATGGACAATTTAAGACAGAAAAAGCCCTGGATGGAGTCTTTGGGATGTGCTTGTAGAGAGAGAAGGAGCCCTGGAGAAGGAAACACCTTGCCGGAACTCAGTGGGCACGATAAAGCTTTTGAGCAGCAGAGAATATCTTCTCTTCTTTTGGGGGCACCGAAGTGCCTTCCTCCCTTGCTCTTTCACAAAAAGTCCTGTAGGGCTTTTTGGTCTAACCATACATAGCTCTGTGCCCTTAGAAAATATGGTAGATTTAAAGCTTTGATTTAAATCAAGTTTCCCCAAAATATATTCCTAAACCATGACTCATACTGTTTAATCTAACCCCCAAAACTTGTTTCCTTTCCATTAAAAAGCACACTTCCTCTCTCTAGGAGGGCAAGCTTCTTTGCAGGGCTCATAACAGTATTCCTACTTTCCATTTCCCTTTCACTTTTCCAAGTTTTGATTGCATAATTCAGCTCCAAACTTAAAGCATGAAGAGCGCACAATTCTATGCATTCGACAGAAAACCATCCTTCAACGCTGAGCCAGCAGGTAGAACCTGTTTCGTAAGACTTTTTCCTGCCTTAACATGCCTAGACGTGCACCTGAGTTGATTGTTATTATTCATTTTTGCTCATGTGTCTTTGCCTGGGTGCTTTCATCTACCCGCGATCATTCAGAGTTTTAGAAGGAGAGCTGGCAGGCAGGTATCAGGCAGGGCAGTTTGGTTTTGTATGACGGAGAGGAAATGTCTGTTATCTTGGAGAGCAAAGACATTAACCGAAAACTGAGCAATCTGCAGAGCTCCGGTGTTTAGAGCGCATAACAGGGAGTGCATGAGACCATCCTGACAGGTGCCACAGGTGTGACTCTTCCTCAGCTGCTCCCAGGGGGTTACAGTGCAACACAGAGAGGGAACCGTTGCAAAACAGGTCTCCTCGGCTCAGTGTTACCTCTGCCTAACATAATGCAAACAGGTAGGCATACTCTGGTGCAGTATCCAGGATGACAGTTTTTTAAGCTGTTTTTCTACCCAGATCATGTCCTCAAAGCAATATATGGTGGGAAGGAATAAAAAAGCACTAAACCATTGTTTACCATTATGAAAACAAGCCATGGTTTCACTTTCGTTTTCAAGCAAGCACACTTCAAACAAACCAGTTTCCCATCACGCACACATGGCACAGGGGTTGTGAGTAACCTGAGAACAGGAGTGCCTGATCTTTTTCCCGTAAACAGAAGAGGTGGAAACAAGCCAAAGGCCGTGAAGTTCAACCTAGAAACACAACATCACAATGGGGCACTTGCTACAGCATTAACCAATTGCACAAACGCCACTTATGCGCACATTGGGCCACAAATGCCGTGGGTACAGTGGTGATGGTGATCCAAGCATCATTCACGGCTAGTGAGTTCCACTCTTCTTGGTAGAGCGGCAGAGTACAAACCGAATCAATCAGCTGTAAATTGGCAGCTTGTTTAATCGCCATTCTAGAAGAAACAGCAAATCAACAAACCATGCAATAACAGGCATGGCCCAAAACGGAAGATGAGCTGCAGGGCTTGGTTCCACAGCTCTTGATTTGCACAAGCTGTCTGGGCCGAGAAAGACTTGGAGGAGGGGGGTCTTTGGAACTTGGCAGAATCAAACCAGCACGTCCTTAGCCTGTCAGCACGCTACACCAGCTTCCCCAACCTGGCGCCCCTCCATGTGGGGGCAGAATTCTGGGAACTGGAGCCCAACACGTGAGAGGGCGGGGGATGCCAGGTCGGGGGAGGCTGAGCGGCACTCTCTAGGTCTGCTTCCCCGCACCCCGGCCAGCTCCACCGGGTGCCCTCCAGATGCCTTGGACCACAGCTCCTGCAAGCCACCCATCGGGGCGTGATGCGTGGGGCTGATGGGAACTGGAGTCCAAGCATCAGCGGAGGGCCCGAGTCGTGGCTGGTGCACGGGGAAGGAGAAAGTGCCGACCTGCGCCAGCGGCCGCTGCCCAACCTCCACCAGCCCCACGGCACGGGCCGGGCACGTCCGCAACCGCTGCCCCCGGGCTAGGAGCTCCGCTCGCCGCGACCTCCGCCCGCCCGCGCTGGCCGGGCCGAGGGAGACGGAGGGGGATGATGCCGGGCCGTGCATGACTCATGCAAACACCCTCCCCACGGCCGAAGGGCTTCACTGCGCGCGCAGCTCCTCACCTGCCCCCAGCAGCGCGTGTGCGCGACCGAGTTCGCGAGCAGCGCCAGCAGCCAGGCGAGGCCCACTGCGCGTGCGCCGCGCGGCCCCGCCCCGCCCCAGCTGGGCGGCCTCTCATTGGCTGTAGTGCGGGCCGCCGCCATCGCTCTGGGGCAGGAGGCTGGCGGGACTACACAGGCCAGGATGCACTGCGCGCGGGGCAGAGCGGGCGGGGGAGCGCGCGAGCGCGCCGCCCCGCCCGCTCTTAATCTCGCCTCGCTCTGTGCGGAGCGGGACGTTTCGCTGTTATTACATTGTTATTACTGTAATTATTCATTGTAGTTATTAGCCGTTCATTAGTATTATCATATGAATAATGATCGCTCATTATTCTTCAGCGTCATTTTTCATAACACTGAGTCATTGTCCTTAAATGAATAAGAAATATTCGTTGATATTATTTTTCATAATACCAGGGCATCATTATTATATTAATAATTTTCACTATTATTCACAATAGTGATTCATCGTTAGATGCATGATGACTTTTAAATTATTATTATTATTACTGTAAACTGCAGGATTGGGGAGCATCTCATGGTAGGATAACAGGAATTTTATTGTATGCTTTACACGAAAACCCGCGTAAGGTGGTTTTATGCTTTTACAAACCATTCTCTCTTTCTCTCTCTCTCTGTCTCTCTTCCTTTTTCCAAAATAGTGTCTACTTGAACGTTACCATGTTGGAAATGTAGTAGAACAACCAGAAAAAAATAGTTCTGCCTTTTGAACATATTTTCCATCATCATCGGCCGTGTTTATTTTACAAAGATTGCTGTTCTTGGGGAACCGCGCAGGACCAGCCAAGTCCCTGTCGATGCTTAGGTAGAGATGGAAAGGCTTGCACCCCATCTTGCTGCAGCCACCTGTGCCCCCTTTTCCTGTCCACACCTGTGCGGGAACACACCTGAACAGCCCACCCCCTGCATCTTTAAACTCCCAGCTATCCCCAGCCAGTAGCACTTTTCTCCTGCAGCTGTTAGATCTTATTTGTTGCTATTATTATTATTCATCCCTAACAGCCTCACCATATTGTTATTCTTTTAAAGGAGATCAGAACAGCGGTGACCCAGAGAAGGGCCTTCTCTGTGGTGGCCCCTCGACTTTGAAACTTGCTCCTAGATGGGTGCCCCTGACGCCAATGCTTTTTTCTTTTCGGAGCCAGGCCAAAATCTTTTTATTTTCCCATTATTTTAAAAGTTAATTCGTGGTTTTACTTTGGATTTTATTTGCTTAGTGATGGTGTACCATATGTATATGTATTGATTTCACTGTGCTGCCGCCCTGAGACATTGCGAAGAACTTTAAATAAATAAATATTTAGTTCCCAGGAAACTCATAAAAGGTACCTTAATATACAATCCCATGTGCAAAAGCATGTAGAAAAAATACCAAAAAAAGACAAAATCCCCAAATAACATTGAATAACAAAAAATCCAGCTAATTAAAAAAAAAAGCAGAGAGGCCGATGAACAAATGGTGACTGGAAAACGCTGGGAGCTGCACATTTTTCTTCTTTTAAACACACAAGGGAAGGCACCCTGATCTTAGCAATCCAGTTTTATCCCATAATAACAACGTCCCTTAAATGACATTTCCTTTAGAGAAGGACAGTTGAACAATCTGCCTGCTTGTTCAGGAATTTCACATCCAATGTCCGCAAGGCTTGCCAAAAAGTTTTAAAAGGGCCAAGGGCCACTCAAACCTCCACCGACATCCCGTTTTTACAACCTCCTCCTGTGTCCTTTTGTGGCGTTGCTAAATCATTTCTCAGCACCTCTGCAGAGGAAGCCACCTTAGGCAAAAAGGAGCCATAAACATGCGTTGACATCAAGGTGCTGCTGTGTTGCCCACACTCTGCACTTTCCCCGTTACTGCTTCCCATTAAGCACTTGCGACATCTGCCAGAAAATTCGGGGGACTTCCAAAGGCAGCCGTAGCACCAATGACTTTTGTGCAATGTTGAGGTGGGAAAGCTTTTGCAGGAACTGTTGCGGAGAAGGAAAGGGAGGAGAACTCCAGCTAAGTCTGCTGTTTTCATGCCTTGCCATGTCATTGCATTAGTGATCACACTTCAGACAATATTCCAAGACTGCAAAACCCACTGAGATCCACGAAAGGTAACCTTAGCAAGAAAGCCTCTGTTCAGCTACCCAGAAAAATGCCCAGCTTAGCAATTGCACCCCAATCGCAGAAGCTCCCCTGTGCAGAGATGGGATATGGATCTGTGAAGCTCTTTTTTTTATTATGTCAGGCACCAAACTCTGCAGCCCACCCCAGCCTGTGATCTTCATCAGGATGCAACTCAAGACGTCATTTCTGGTCTTCAGTCTGGCCTGCAGGAGGCCAAGGAGAGCCCTGGCAGATCAAACTGAATTCTGATTTCATCCAGCATTTGGAAAACCCACACGTTGCCCAGCGAACATCACCCATCAGCTTGTGTTCCTCCGCCACCCTGTCCACTGTCTGCCATGTTGGAAGTCGAGGTGTGTTGCTGCGGCGAGCCATATCTTCCTCTGGAAAGCAAAGGACAGCCGCTATGCCTCTTTTTTCCCTGCTCGATTCCTCCCACAACATCAGGCTGCTGAGGGAAGGACAGAGAGCAATTTCCAGACCATGTGATATGGCTTCTAAAAGGGGCAAATGCTACTTTGGGCTTCATTAATGGAAGTATCTCTCCAGGTTGGGGAGGCTTCCCTCTATTCAGCATTAATTAGGCCCCATCTGGAGTCCTGTGTTCAGTTCTGGGCACCACAGTTCAGGAAAGATGGAGACAAGCTGGGGAAAGTCCAGCGGAGAGCAACAAGGATCATGTGGTGACTGGAAATAAAGCCTTGCAAAGAGAGATGGGAAGAACTGGGCTTGTTTAGCCTCGAGAAGAGAAGATTGAGGGGGGATAGGATAGCACTCTTCAAATATTTGAAAGGGTCTACACAGGGGAAGGACAAGATCTCTTCCCAGGCATCCCAACTATAGGGCACGGAATAATGGGCTTCAGCTGAGGGAAGCCAGATTCCAGCTGGGCATCAGGAAAAGCTTCCTGGCTGTTACAGCAGTACAGTAGTGAAACCACTGTCCAAGAAGCAGTTGGACAGCCATCTGGATGGATGCTTGAACTTGGAGTCATGCAACAGCAGGGGGTTGGACTAGATGGCCTTCTGGCCCCTTCTAACTCTACTGTTCTCTGATTCTCTGACTTTTGAAATCAAGCCAATAAAGCCAGAGAAAATAGATGGATTCATCACTCCTGCCGTAAGCCCTAAGTCAACATTGACTCTTTGAGAAAAAATTGTCCATGGGGCACAAATGCTCTCTTGTTATGTGTGTGTGTGGGGGGGGGGGCAGCTCAGAACACCCCAATTCCCCGAGGGCAAGAGGGTGGGACTAAAGAAGTTCCCTTCAACCCAAGAACCTCAGTGCAAGGCCCAAGACCGCAGAACGATCTTTGGGATGCCAGTAAAGAGGGCACTGGAGGGCGGCATGTTGCTTTGCTTTGCTGAAGGCCAGCCTTCCGTTTTGAAAAAACATTTCAGAACATTTGAAAAATAAAATACCAGTTGGGAGAGTCAGGGAGTTTGGCAGACTCCAATATAGGTTGCCGTGGGCACGCTGGTGACGCGGTTGTTTAGGTAATCCTCACCCATCCGAAGGCACAAGAACATTTGCTCACATGTGGCCCCCACACTGTTCATGGGAGCTGAGCTTCCATGCACTCGTGCTCATTTAAAGAAAAGCAGCTTGGATTCCTGCATCGTGTTTAATTGCCTTTGGCAAGAGTTTCGCCGTGGTGTTCATGCTTCATCCATAGCACCTCCGTCATGTTCTGTGACTGTCTGGTCTCATCCTGTTTCTTCCTCCACCTCTGAGAGAGTTGGGATGTGGGAAAAAGATGTTTGGGTTGAATCTAATTAGCAATGGGAAGACTCACCACAAGTGATTCAGTTATTTACTTGGAAAGTACTGACTTCCTGCACACGGGCTCCGACCGAAGTTCTCCGTTCGTGCGAAATGGTGTCCTTCCTATATGAATACCGGGCTGCCTTCTGCTCTCCCCAAATATGGCCTGCTTCTGATGATGAAGCAGAGGGAATTCTGGCTGAAGGTCAGCACACTGGAGCGTAATCCTACGGGGACGGCCAGCAGCATCTCCATGCAGGAGTGTGAGGTCCTCCTGTGCAGAGACGCAGAGTGGTGGAAGGGATCCACTGAACTGGGGTGCTTCAGCCATCCTGTCACCACCAAAACTGTCCCCGTTGACCCCACTTTGAGACCACGTTCCTGACCTTGGAAAGCAAGCAGGGGCAGTTCCTTCTGCTCTGGCGACAACGAGACTAGGAAACTGGAGGGTTGCCTCCAAGCTCACAGCCAGGAGTCCAAGCTCTCCTATTCCCCCACCCCACAATGTCTAGGGGCCATGGGGTGGATCCCTCCGTTGCCTCCCCTAAGTCCAGAGACTTTTGTAAAGGATGGGATAGAAATGCACCAAATGAACCATTTTTTCCTACGATCGTTTTTTAATTGTGCGATTCTGCTCCTGCCATGTGTCATACTAAGAACTTTAGGGGGATGCATCCTGAGAAGGTTGTATTTAACCCGATTTATAGAATAAGGATACTTAGCAATTTGAGTAAAAACAGACTGGAACCTGCAGCCCTCTGAAAAACAGCCAGGGCAGGAGCTGCATACGTTTCGTCTGGAAGGGAATTCCATGAAGTTGGGGCCACAACAGACGTGGCTTGTCCTTCATGCTTGCCGCCCTAACAGTCCTGCCGCAGCCACGTGAGAGGAACCTCTGCAGCTGCCAGGGACCGAGATGCCAACCAGGTACTGAGAAGCGTCATGAGGCTTCCATAGTCTTTGCCCTCCAGGGCGGTTCCGCCCTTTGCATCCAGAGGAGGGGGCATTGCTGCCTTCAGATCCCGAGGTTCTCCACCATGAAGGGCCCAGCATGCCACATCCACCCGCTCCTTGCTGCAGTCCAAAGCTGTTCCAAGCGTTCCAGGACCTTTGAGGAGAAAAAGCCTTAATCA